TAAAAACCATTATTTGTCATATTTGCATACATAAGGTTGAGAACTAATAAAAAAAAAATCGGGGAAAATTAAAACCCATTTTGTCCCTATTCTCAAGAATCACTGGATAAACATAATGCAAAGCTGGTACAGATACACTTGCACCACAAAATAAAACCACCTGAAAAGGCAGATAACTGTGGTTCTAGAAAGTACTGACTCTGATGAGTCGAACAAATTCAGATTTTTGTTTGTAGAACATTTTGAAAAGCACGTATCACTGAATTATGTTCGGCAGAGTGAATGCAGGAACAAATGTCTTATAAAACATATTCACACTCAATTGTCTTTTTAAGAGAAAAAAAAAGACTTGAAATTATCACGTCTTCTCCAAAAACCATAAATACACACGAAGTGGAGCTTGAGATGGAACATTCCAGAAGAAAATACACTTCTCAGCTTTTCATGGCAAAAGTAAAAGTATTAAAGACAAACTCTAAGGTGTCATTTTCTTCTTATAATTCCACCTACGTTTCAAAAGATTCAGAAGAACAGTGGTCATGGTTGCTAGGGAACCACTAAATTTAGGACGGTGGAGCTGGGTGAACAGAAGACGCGCCCACGCCTGGCTGGCTGGCGGATGTTTTGATCTCTGCTGTGTTGCCTTCAGTCTCCACTGACTATTTTTAGCTCTTTGGGTTTGAGAGGATGAAGGTGTGAAGCAACGCAGCAGCAGAGGTTCACAGTTAAATGGAGCACGTCTTTGTTCCAGCACAAAAGGGACGCAGGGAGAAGACGGAGGAGGGAAGAACGAGTCCTGGTCCTCCAAAAGGCTAACAACACGTCGGCATGAAGGAGACTGAGATCTGTTCATATATGTTATGTTGGATGTTTAGGTCATATGTTGAATTTTTTTTCAGGGGTAAACAACACAGTGAAAAGCCTCAATTTCATGTTCATATGTGCTTCAGCTTGAGTTCAGCTACGGTCTGACAGATAACATGTTTGGTGAAAGCAAAATATTGATTGGCATCAAAATAAGTCCTGCAGCTCTAAGGCAGGAAGCCAGGGCATCAAGTACAAAGGTTTCCATGGAAACGGCTTGAGCAGGAACAAATCTATGGCTACAATCACTACATCTGAGTTTTTAACGGCAGTCTGAACGGTCCAGTCCAAAACCAAAACTCAGACCTAAACCACGTCCATATGTGGAACTAAACTTGTTTTCAAACAGGGGTGCACCGAGTTCCTTAATTTTGGGAGAGCAGTTATCGGCCAATACTTAAATATGAAGTCGATCTTATTCAGTGATCCTATCGTCTAAAAATCAGCCACTATCCTCTTTAGCTCTGCTGTTACAGGTTTGACTGTTGGCCCCGCCCACCGGGTCGCATCTGCATGTTTGCGGTTAACAACAGTCACCCCACTGTTACCAATTCAGCAACTTTTTTGTTATGTTTAGCAACATTTCAGACACAAAAGAAATCTGCATCTGCCAAATCTAAACTGGCAGGTTCAGACTTTGTAAAGATCGGTAACCAGCGATTGGCCAAACAACTGCGATCGGTGCATCCCTAAAATTCAATTCAGTAAAATTCATAATCTTAAGAATGCTCCTCACAGATTTGCCTTCTTATTTAGATTTGTGGCGACTAACGTGATGCGCCTCAAACGCCTGGGAGTCACTCACATCCTGAACGCAGCAGAAGGAAACTCCTACATGCACGTCAACACCAACGCAGAGTTCTACATGGGCTCAGGAATCACCTACCACGGCATCCCGGCCAACGACACCGACCACTTCGACATCAGCGTCTACTTCGAAGAGGCGGCGGACTTTATCAAGAAGGCCCTGGCCTACAAAAGTGGAAAAGGTGCAACGTAGCAAACACAAACTCTGACACGCATCACTTCGCTAGAAATAAGATGAATCTGAAACTTTTTGACAAACGTTTTTGTTTTCACTCTGAGGTGTAGTTTGCTTTCCATCAAACTGAAATTTCTTGCTTTTTTTCCGCCTCCTCCAGGTAAAGTGTACGTGCATTGCAGAGAAGGCTACAGCCGCTCGCCCACCTTGGTCGTTGCTTACCTCATGCTTCACCAAAAAATGGACGTCCACACCGCTCTGGCCATGGTGCGGCAGAAACGAGAGATTGGACCCAACGATGGCTTCCTGCGGCAGCTCTGTCGGCTAAACCAAAGGTTGGCCGCCGAGGGGACACTGTGGAACAAATGAGAGACGCGAGTAAACAGAAATGTGTCGTAGGAAAATGAAGTATGCTCAGCTGTACTTTGTTTGCTTTCCGCTTGTTTGAAGCTTGAGTGGCCCTCAGGCCGGTGAGGGAAAGCTCAGAACAAAGTGAAACGTTTTGACCGAGGGTGATAACAGGAAGTGTTGTATCTACTGTAGATTAACACATACACGCACACACTCTGCCCTGTGTTGTGTCTTAGTTATACTGAAATGAACATACCTCTGGGTCATACACTAGCCGACTCACGTGACCCATTCAGATTAGGTAAAAAAAAAAATCTCAAATTTTTTATCGTGGTGTGAATTTAAAAAAAATTCTTCCAGACTTTCTACTTTACTTCAGCTAAATTGGAAAATTCACCTATTCATTTATGAAGAGTTCTAATGACGACAAAACTAAAATAATATATGTGTACTGTCAATAACTCAAAGTTAGGTTAGGTGAGTTTGCATGAAATGACCATTTATCATAAACATTGCTTATAACTTGTTTAACGTAGAACGGGTTAACTATTGTTACATATTCTCTAAATAACAGATTTATTACAGTTCAGTAGTTCTTTATCATGTTCTGTATGGTTTGTTGTGTTTTCTTGATGATTATCAGTTTAGTTAATAGGCATATAATACAGTTATTATAAGTAGTGAGACTTTAGATAGAGTTACTGTCCCATCCAGTCTAATTTGTCCTCCACCCTTCTAGCCATGGGCCCCTCATGTTGGCCCCTGTCCTGCTAACACTGCCTACTGTCTCAGTCACAGCCCCTCCCACTGTGATTTGTAATGTGGAAAACTACAGGATTTTATTACAGTATTTTTGTCTAATGTCTCTTCTGGACTCTTTGAACAGTATTGCACTCACGTTTAGAAATCTGCCTCAGACGTATTTCTGAATTATTTCTTGTGGTTTCTGTGCTTTACAAAGAATTTATCACTTTTACACAGAAAACAAAACAGAATTTATATTGATGAAGAGAATGTAAAACAAACAATATTGTTTTGAGTTATAGAATTAGATGAACGCTGAAATTGGCCTGGTAACCATGACAATAGTCATTTTAAGCTCAACTGCATTCACGGACAAAAATATAATATTGAATAAGTATAAAATTGTCATGGACAAGGAAATATGTATGGGGAGAGAAAAATTAGTAAATCGTAGCTTTTTGATGTTGGTCTGGCCATGAAACAAAAAATCCTTAAATTCTTTGCTTAAGAACACGTGCTTTTTATAAAATACAAATTAATTAGATTATTACTATAGTAAATGAAAAAAAATATAACATTGGTGCACAAAAGACACACAAAGAATAAAAAAATGAGTTTAAGCCATTTTTATACAAAGAATCTAGTAGACAATGCCTTTTAGCTTAGCATAAACTCTGCATTTTGTAGTTTGCGATAAGCCAACAAGCCTAAAACCAATGAAGTGTTTAATGGTGACATTAAACACAGAGTTTAATGTTGTAAATATCACTCTCCAAAAACAACAAAATTATCCTAATTGTGTAATTAGGGTTATTAATAGCTAAATAATTCGAATAAAGAAATGACTTTTAGCTTAGCGTAAGTACTGCGTTGTTGTGTTTGGGTAATTAGCCTAAGTAGCCTAAAACCAGCTTTGTGTTTGGTGTGAAAAGATGAGAAGTGTAGCAATTTATTCCTCTAGCTCTAAAATTTCTGTAAATATGTAAGTACTGTGTATCAGATTAGTTCTTAATTAAGCTGTTGTAGCTTAGCTTGAACATTAGGTTTTAGAGTCTGTGTTAAGCTAACTAGCCTAAAGGCAACTTTGTTTTTTGTGCTTTTGTGCTTACGCATAAGAGAGGTAGCTTTAAAAGCCAGTATTTCTAATAATATTAACATAGTTAACTGTTCACTAATTTGCCAACTACTAAGTAAAATGTCAGTTAAACACCTGCAATAAGAAAAGGATTCCCATACAGCAGTGCAGCTCTACTTCGAATGTAACATCACTGCTGCCAGAATGTCAGAAAGTCAAACTGCAACTTTTTAACTTTTGCATAGTAGAGTGTTTACATGTTTGTATTTTTGACATTTTAAATGCAGTTTTATATTGTTAAGTTGCATGCGTTGTGATATTTGTCAGCCAAAGTGTTGCTTACAGTCCTTAATGGACACACTTGTGTCTCTGTGTGTTAATGTGCATTACTGAGTGTGCATTATTTGTCACAGTGAGCACACTGTGACAAATAATGTCACTATTGTCACTAATGTCACTCTATTGTGCCTATATCTTGTGAATCATGATGTACTTTACTGCTGCTGTAGCCTAATTGGTCAAATCAGAAGACTTAGATTTTGACTCAGCTTTGATGAAGTTCACTTTATCTGATGACACTTGGGATTGTGATTGTTCTCTTTTCAAACATAAAATAATAATTTAAAAAATACAGTCTTGTTTAATTATTTCTTCTATTTTGATTTATTTTATTTTATTTTTTTACATTTCCTTGTTCACTTTTTATCCATAAAGCGAGGCAAAACAGGTATTAGTCTTCCATTGTCAATTTGTTTGAAACTTACTACACTAGAATTTGACAGGTCGACTTTATTCAGTTTTGAATAAAGTCGACCTGTCTTTCTCACTGTCTACGTTTTAATGATGTAAAGCCCCCGGAAAACGTCCCAGTTAAACGACGTTTAACTAAATTTCTACAGGGTTTAGAGTCCCAGTTGACGGCGTTTCAACTAAAAACATAAAGGTTGGAGTCCTTGTCAAACGGTGGTTTTGACTAAAGTCCCAGAGGGTTTGAGTCCCAGTTAAATGACGTTTAACTGAAGTCCTAAAAGGGGTGCGGGTTTTAATGTTTTTATCTTTTTTAATCTTTTTCAAAATCTCTTTCTCTTTCTCACTGTTTATTCAATGTCACACTGTTTTTATTTTAATTTTGTAAAGTATTTTGAAATGCCTTGCTGCTGAAATGTGCTATACAAATAAAATTTGATTGACTGATTGGTTGAAAATAGCAGGACATGACTAACCATGTTGTCCTGAAGAGGGCGATACAGGATTGCTTTGGTTTTGCTTGGATCAATACATTGTGCCAAATAGTCCATGGGCCAAAGGCCAAAATTTCAAATTTTGGTCCATCTCAGGGCGGCAAAGTCTATCCATTTATTTTTTTTTATTTTTTTTTTTAAGATACATGTCTCTAGATAATATTTTGGTATGAAAGTCCTTCCAAAGTGGTAGCTGAGTCATCGTTATCAGCTCATATGGATAAATTCTATTTTTGAGAAACTATTTAAAAAACTGTTTGGTTCTCGAATGAGACCCACAGAAAAGTGAAAAGTAAGAGCTACTTCTCAGTCCGACGCTCCAAACAATGGCTGTAAACAGCATAATGAGAAGCACAGACGTGCTGAAGGCAGAGTGTCAGAAAGAGCAGGAGCTTCTTAAAGAGACAAGCCCAATTTCAAGGCATTAAATTACAAATTTCTTTTAACTTACTTTTTGATCTACAGCAATTTGGAACAAAAGAAGCTACTTGACAGTGCTATAATATGACTCTATACTGCTTCTTTAAAGTAATTTATGATACACAAAATAAGTTTATCATAAACTTATAACTACTCTCTTCTTTTGTGACTGAAGCATTAATAAAATCCTGACGATGAAGGTATTACTACTTTGAGTCCGCCACTAGAGGGCAGACTAGTACTTCAAACGGATCTTATCGATGCCTGCGACTTTATCAAGGTCTCTTGTTCATTAGAACGATCCCATCTCCCCTGCATTAAGCCTGTTGATGTGTGTAATTCAATAAAACATTCTCCATTGCTCTAATCACACACTCTCATATTTCGAGCGTATTTCTTATGTAACGGAATTTCACTGAGCGGAACCAAAACTCAAAGTTTTAACAGGATCCATGATATCTCTTATTAAACACATGTGTGCATCTGCAGGACCCTTGACGTACGCTCACCTCTGCCCTCCCTCCTGTGTTATCTCTACCCACCCAACTGTTATTTGGCTGACCGAGTTGAAGCAAGGACATGTCTGCCAGGGTAGCAGGGTAATGCTCTTACGTAACACCAGTCTACATGAATGGATCAGCGGGGTGGGGCAGCCACGGGGTTTAGTGTCCGATCTATTTTTGGGAAATTCTTCTCGAACTGATAGAAATACATTAGCTCATAAAGTGGGCCGCACACAGCCAGTGGGCCAGTTATCAGAAAACGACCAGACGATGAAATGACTTTAAGGCTGCAGTATGTCACTGTCATAACTAATATTTGTTCAGACATTTATTGAAACTGTCACTATATGACAACAATATGGTATGAGACAGATAATCTGCGAATCAAACTGAGCTCCTCTGCCAGTAGTTCTAACTAGAAACAACCAATCAGAGCCAGGAGGAGGAGCATCTTAGCAGAGCTTGTGGATGCTAATACTAATTAGCATGGCAAGGATGAAATAAACAGTTCTCCTTTAACAATGAGTTTTGTTCCCACCATTAGCACATTTAGTAGTGTGCATGAGGGTGATTGACAGCGCCAAGCCCCTCCCTTCTGGCTCTGATTGGTTGTTTCTGGTCAGTGAGTTTCTTCAAACAGCAACAGCAGCTGAATAAATACATAAATTGCTTGACAAATTAAAACAAGCTCAATAATTTCTATTTACATGATTTGTTTTTCTCTTTTCCCTCCTTCTACCAAAAACTGGATGACAAACGTCTTCAGATTGGTGTTTCGATTTCAGCTAGTCTCTCTTTTTTTCCTAAAGGACAATTCTGTTTACAGAGATGTCACAATTCGTTTTATTTGTTGTTTCTGTTGTTTTGCTCATTTATTTTGAATATTTAAAATGTCCGGTGTAAACGGTCATTAAAATTTAAAGTTTATTGATCTTGGAAAATGTGTTCTTGGGTTATTAGTGATCATATTTGAAAATTGTCTCAAAACAACAATATTATTGTTTATCACAATAACTTCTGGGGCAATTTATTATCCAGCAAAATGTATTACCTTGACAGGCCTAATCATGACACGGTGATATGTTTTGACATATTTGTTGGAACTATTTTTTAGTTAAATTTACATATTGCAGCATTAATGTATAAGCAAGGGTATGTTATGTGAAAGAATCGATCATTCATGCTAATCTGCAACATAAAAAAACTCAGAAGCAATGTCTACTAAAACCCGCTCTATCAAACCCATTTTAGGGATTCCCTGGAAGCATTTTTCCCTTACAGGAAAAATCTGTAATGGATGTCCTGGCCTGTCAGACTGCATCTCTGTGCAGGGGTGTGAGCCTCTCTCACTGGCCCTCCACACACACACACACACATATACACATGCACTCACGCACACACACACACGCACACGCACACACACACAGCAGTCTTTATGCACACACATGCTATCTGTGTCGGTCTGGGCAGAGACGGATTTTTGGATTGGTGGAGAGCAAAGCTGCTCACTGTTACATCATCTCCACCACAACAAGCTAAGAGCAAATTTGACGTCGCCTGGCTGCCATGACGGCGAAGGTTTGGGAATAATTTAGCCGTCTGCCTCATTAAAACGTAATCAGTTGGGTAGGTTCATGCACACTTTTGATTATAAATGTAAAATTACCGCCCCCTCCCCTCCACCCCCAAAATAGTGTTGGTTAATATTTCAAACATGTTGAAACTTTCACTTAAAGCGCCTTGGTTCCCTTTCTGTAATGTTGTGTTACTGTTGGTTTTATAAAGACTTAGATGACTGACTGACAACTGGATGCAGGATCATTCATGTCTGCCACCGATAACAGATATAGAGTGTGTGACTTAATATGTGGTTTAATGGAGACGTTTGTGGATTTGGTCCCTCTAACAATACAAACTGGAGTTTCTCTGATTGGAAAACTGTTGGCTGCAGTTAAAGCTGGAAGTCTTTTAGCTTCACATTGCTACAAGATATTTACATCTAGAAACTGAAATTCTAGCCACAAGTCTTTGGACTTTGATTGAACCATTCTAACATGTGCCAATGCTTTGGTCAAACACATTCCACTGTAGCTCTGGCTCTCTGTTTAGGTTCAGTTTCCTGCTAACAGCTAGCCTGACTGTTGCCTTCCTACACAATTCTGCTTGATTCTCATCTCCTTCCAGTGCTCAGTCTGGGATTTCTCCCAGTGACCTTGATTTGTCCAGTAGAAATTCTACCTGGTCAATCAGTAAACAGAAGGATAAGTTTTGAATGATGACGTTGATTTTCTGAGCTGTTTTAGAATTGTAATCTGGAGGATGGTTGTAAACAATGCAGGGAATTTCCGGTAAGCTTCATAGCGTCATATATAGGCCACGAGCAAACCTCAATAATTGGGTAACAATAACATTTTAACAGACTCCACACCTCCAACATCGTTTCTCATCAGCAGGTGGTCCAGATCTTTTGGATGAAGCAAAGTGTAGAACAAAGTGCTGATTTTTACCAGGCTAGCTAAAAGCTAAACCTTCATCCTTCCTCCTTCAACTCTGACCGTCTTCACACTCCCTTGTTAATAAAAGCCTTCATACCGGATGAGGCTACCACCACATGACTTTGGGGACGGTGTGTTCAAGGTGATGTGCAAAGTTGGTTTTCCTATTTAAACGTTAAATGTTGCCCTATTCGTCCTCTTGTCTGCTGTGTTCCCTCTACATGGTGTGTGACAAACAACAAGCAGGACGTCTGTCTGTCTTTCCACTATCACTTTCTTCTTGTCAGATTTGTGAAGTCTCCAGCCAGCAGCTGTCCTAGAAACTGATTCTCAGATCAATGCTGTGCTTGTCTGGTGAACTGCTCCCTTCAGGTTGGGGGTAACTTGGCATCTTGTCTCTGGTTGATGAAAGGATCAAGCAATGGACAGACGGATTGAGGTCTCATCAACTGTGACACAGGCACTGCTTCGCACTGTTGGTGTGTAGGAAAAGCTGAGTATGATCAGACCTTCATGATCTGATCATACTCAGCTTGGTGGTTTGGAGCCAGGCTGTCTTATTTCCATTTTTAGACGATGTGACATTTTTAAACTCTGTGAAATGTTCAGAGTTTGGGAGGTGAACTTTGAAGCCAGTTTGGTGCTGGATTTAATTTGGGGGTGTCAGAATAAAGGAGGGAGAATATAAACTCAACTTTCAATGATCTTCATAGACTTCAAAGTAAGCAAGTGAATGTAAGGATGTGGGTTAATGACTGATAAACATCTGCTTTCAAATCACATCAGAATGCAGAATAATTCCAAACCCTGAAGATTCTTGGCTCCATTAGGAGGTTTTAGACCAGTGGTCCCCAAACTTTTTCCTGTGAGGGCCAAATAACTTTTCCCTTCTCTGGTGGGGGGCCGGAGATTGTTGATTGGGTGTGGGGGGATGCGTTTCTTGATTGATTTTTACCGAGAAAGCACATGGGCAAAA